ATTACTGCGCTTTTAAGGCTTTTGTATTGTGGGCCCACGCGTGAGTGACCATCGCTAACTGCAAAAAGAATAGAGTGATGAGTACATCTTGTTTCCAGGATTCCAGGAGGAAGGTGCAACTAGACAGAGCATGACGAACTGCTAATACGTACAATTCTTCTAACTGATACCATTGTCCAGATAACGTTCGCTATTTCTTTTCGTTCAACTCGTGACGATAACGTAAAGAGCAGCCAAATGATAAGCAAAATCTAATTATTTTTTCTCGCATCACGTGTCATAATTTATCTAATGAGCGTATTGCAACTTCAATCTTGTGACATTTTGATATATAATAGAAATCGTATTTTACTCTTAATTGCATTGCACTAGATATTTCGACGAATTCCTTTCCAACAAACAATAATCTATATCGTGTTGAGTTTAATTCATTCGCCACAGGCACAAAAAGACGATTCTTCATTATTCTTTGTGTTCAGGAAGATGTTTGTTGCGGTAAATTATCGATGTGTCCACATATTTCTAAACGTATTACACAGCCACCATTGCAACATTGCAAAATACTTTTAAACAGAATAATTAACAAGCCTTTCTACAACATTTACCACTGTATTTTTTCGTGGGAATTAAATTGTCAACAGTTTCTGCAAACATCTTACGCTTGTATGTACTACGCTAATTTTATTTCATACACATATGTATGAAGAGAAATGAAACTTATTCGGAATCACTAAGAAGATGACATTCTCTATTTACGTCTGGACGTGAATTTCCATAATAATATTAGGTTAATAGTTAAAATTAATAATGTTTCGATTAGATTATTAATATGTATAATTAATAATAGAATAATGCATTTTTGCGGTATGTGTACTACTTATTATGAACTTAATTTTTCCTAATTTCTATTACCATCTTTCAGATAAACTTTCTATTCTAATTTATGAAGTTTCTGGTCTGACGAAATTCATCGTTCAATTTTCAAAAAAAGATAATTATTTATAGGACGATCAAATAGTAACGTTACTTTACACGATATCAGGAAACATACGGAATTAAAAGTAATCTCTCTTTGTCTCAAACGAAATGATCACCTAATTATTTTTAATAAATTTCACGTTTTTAGTGTAGTTATTGTGAACCAAACAATTCAATTATCTACTTCATTTCGCCACACGAGACGAAACTTTGATCATGAGAAAAACATTAAAATGTAAATTGTTCGGGCTCACGTGCGTATGACGCAATCTGTGGAATTTCTTGCAATTTCTTGGTATGTAGCCAACGGATTTTACGACGAAAATACGACAAAGAACGAGTCCTATGAGGACATCATAAGTCTTTTGATGATAGCGAGATAAAAAATTACGATGAAATAAGCTTCTGTTTAAGATCCTATCATCTTAACGCTTCATTATACGCGAAAGTTTCGATTATGCTTAAATAAGTTGCTACTTTCGAATCAAATATGCTACGAAATCTTTTAAAATTCGTTTTATAACGTTAATTAACAGAAATTACGTAGCTACGTTGAAATAAACTCTTTCTTTAAGTTCACATCATATCTTAATACTCCTTCATATAAAAACGTTTCAACTATTCCTAAAAAAGATCTTTGATTCTTGATGTAAACAAAACCGATGAACTAACAGAAATTATATTAGTACATCGAAATATATTTCTTAATATGCATGATGCAATAAATATTTGAATTACTTTGAGTTCGTCAGACCGAAGTTAAATACGTGGAAAAACAGAAATACGAAACTGTGACCGTTGCTCCTTGTATTGAATATCATTAGCGATAAACTGGTCGATTCCGAGTATGTAATCTTTAAATAATTTGAACATAACAGTATAATGTTAACAATAAATGTCAATACAAGGTAACAAAAAAAATTTTCGGAAAATTCGACTTCTCCTGGAAATTCTTACATTTGAGAAGCAGTATAGTCGTAATGACCGAACAGAAATGTTAATAAGGCACTAACAGTAAGATTCGCAACAACGTGAAACAAAGATATTCTTTAAGTCAATTTAACTACAGGAATGTCTACTTTCCATTCCTAAATGTGGTTGAAAGTTAACCATAACTTTCCATTTCATTTCGAGGTACATCATTCGTGTATTTTAAGATTATTATATAATCTAAATTTTATGCACTCTTGCAAATTTTGTTATATTATTCGCATGACAATTAGGCTATACAGGATATCCACCTAACTCGAAACCCGCGCTCACGAGACATAAGAATGGAAACAGTGTAACATGTACGCTTACTACTGTAATCAAATGTCGCTCGCCATCTATGAGCTGTTACTAGAAATAAAATTAGGCGAGGACGCAGAGCGGTTTTTGTTGGTTGACGTCGAAGGACTTAAATTTGATGTCACTATAAGGAGAAGATGATCGCTGAGAAAGTTAGCTTCGTATTTTCGCTCGATGATTTCATGTCCTTACGTGCTTGAGGCTTCGAAGCAAGCAAACGCACCTGATTTTGATATCTTAAATTATGTCTACCTGAATGTAATTACAATTCAATTTTTTTTTGTCTAAAATTGTATTCAACTGTTTGAACGATCGAATCATAATGAAATTATCATCGCTAACGAATTACAATAAAATTGTTCACTTTCTTGAAGACCCTTTTTATATCTCGTTTGGTAATTTTCTTCTACGTTGTATTTCAAAATTTATGATCGCTATTACCTAATTTTGGATCGTTCTGTTGTGGATATGTCGAATGTAAGAATAGGGAACAAGAAAAGCGATTGGGATATAGTAAGACATTTCACAAAATTCATATTTAGACAGATTATTTCAGAAGAATACAAATAAATTTAACCCTCGTACTGCAGTACCTGGGTCCGTTCGAACTAGTCGGCTAACGACGGAGGTCTATTTTTTTAAACTGATCTGTCTACGTATGACTTCTATGAAGTATTTTATTGTATCTCAATTGTTTTCCTATTCTTACATCGGAGCAGCGATTTCAATCACAGTAGAACGATCTAAAATCAGGTAAAGCGGCCAATTTATGGAGAATGATTGTTAATAAATTTTAAAGTATGACGCAGAGAATATTAAATATGTTAAAAATGAAAATTACCAAACAAGATATAAAAGGACTCTCCATATAATAACGTTTATAATAACGTGAAAATTTAATTGTAGTTCGTTGGTACCATAATCCAAGATATCAAAACCGGTTGCACTTGCTTGCTTCGAAATTTCAGGAGCACGCAGGGACATAAAATCGTCGAGCGAAAACGCGAAGCTAGTTTTCTCAGTGATAGTCCTGTCCTTATAGTGACATCAAATTTAAAGTCCTTCGGCGACAATCAAATTTCAATTTCTAATTATACTTCTAGTAACAGCTCGTAGATGACGATCGACATTTTATTGCAGTAGTAAGCGTACATGTTACACTGTTGCCATTCTCATATGTTCTCGCGAGCGCGGATTCTGAGTAAAGTGAATAACCATGTGTACATATATGTGGTATCGATCATTAGCTAATTTTTACCATAAATGTATCATGAAGATTCACACCAATTAACACAATCTTCAGTTCAGTTAAATACGAAGTCAAAGTAAAATAGCAGAAGTAGTTTAAGTTTTACCGGGAGTTCAGTGAAGTAAGGTAAATTGCAAAGTAAACAATGTACTGTAATTAAAAATATGTAATCACATAACAATGCATAAATATATTCGATCATAATTTGTAAATAGAAAGAATTTTATTTAAAGGAATTAAATAACAAAAATCGATGTTAATAAACGTCACTTCCCGTCGCGTGCAACATTCAGTATTTATAATGCAAAGTTAAGGGACATCGTTTGTCTCTGTCTTTAAGCCGGTCAAAAATACTTTTTATTCTTCATAATAACGCCACGTGCTTTTCTTGTTCGACCTTGTCGGCCAAACTGATAAGAGCGTCGACCGTAGACGTCACAGTTTTTTATTATATTCTTTTGAATGTAATTATCGCTACTCAATGTGTTAACGAACCTACACGTTATTTCGAACTACTTCTATATATATGTATATATGTATATAAAATTGAACCGACTATCTACCAACAAAGAATGATTAATATCAGACTTAGTATCTTGCTTCCCGGTTTTCCTCATGACAAGTTTAAATATAGAATGTATTTGCACCAAATTTGCAAAAATTAATATTAGAGAAATTATTCAAGAAATTTTTATCAGATCATTTATTATAGAAATTACTTATGCGACAATACTATTTTAGATTAACAATGTATCATCAATGAATCCATAACAAAACTTATGTTAGATGGAATATGCGGTATTTTAGAAAACATAAAAATAGAAACATAGGTATTTCGTGAAGAAACATTCGAAAATTAAAATAAAATAAAATTGTCATGGCAAATAGCACCATTTGTTTTGAAAATGATTTCACTTACGAATATAATTATTACAATATTCTCTTCGATTCTCTGTAATTAAACAATTCAACTATCGAGATATTCATTTTATACAACGATTATAACATAAGCCGCATAATGTCAGACTGTGTGAGTCACAGAATAAAAGCAGAACATAGGGGAAAATTTTCTGTTTCTAGCACGTATAAATATACAATATAGCACGTTTACCACGTGCATATATCGAATAAATTGAATTCGTACCCGCCATTTGCATGCACAGCCGTTATGTCGTCAGCAAAGACACACTCGAATTTACTTACCTGCAAATCTGGTCTTGATCAAATCTAAAGGATGCAACATCAGCGTGGAAACCACGCCACCGGATACACCAGCAACGAGATGTTCGTACTTAAAGTGGCTCAACACGGGCAAAACACGAGCGGTCCCCGGTGAACCACCACTCGACTTTATTGTCGACATTTTACCCGTGTCAAACTGCTCGTCGTTCGTTATCGATCCGTCAGTGGAAAATCCAGTTGCATCCTTTACAACGCTAGCAATATTCGTCTCCACTCTGCGGCATATCTCTTGATCCGCGGCAGGCAGTGCCGTTGCGTTTGCGGTAACGCGAGACACAGCCGAAATCGCTTCTTCGGTTTGATACGTTCTTCCGTCTCGCTTTCTCCTTTTAACTGATTATGTAACGCAAAAGGACGTAACGCGCACCGAACGCAGACTAATGACTGACTCGGCGACTATTCGCGTTGAATGCTCTGCGCACCACCTCCCTCTACGTTCAACTACCTCTTTCCAACATGTGCCATCTTTCTGATTAAGAGGAAACAGAAACTCCTGTCGCGGGAAATTCAATGCAAACTATAAACGCGCGCCGTTCTCTACCACCACTTGAAAACGATCATCTTTAACTTTTTTAAGATTACTTAATTACTTTGTACCAGAGAAATTTAAATTGAAACATTATAGCTTTCATCTTTACGTTTCATGAAAAGTCATTCAAATTCTGTATGTATCCTAATCAAAATGTATGTATGTATATCTATCTACAAAATTTCTATGAAAAGTTACGAATTGGTCACTTTATTCATTGTAGTGATAGTTCTAGTATTAATAATATAACTTATAGAACAGTGAAAATGATGAAGGTGGGACATCTGGAAAATATTTGAAAATATTTTTCATTACGTATTTTAGAAAATAAAAAAATACTTTGCTAAAATGTAAATTTATACCTAATTAATATAAACCTTCTTAAAGATAATAAATTTTGAATTACTTCTATACTGTCAGGCAAATTTCTCAATAAATTAAATTTTAGATAAAATTACAAGTATTGATTAACGAATCTAGCAAAGAAGGTAAGCTAGATAACAGAACGCCCGTTCGATAACGTTAAAAATTGCTTATCTTTGAATGTCTGATAGGATGAAACATATATTGGCGATTGGTGATGAACGGATAACAGTTTTTTTACCCACTGTCACGATATAATATCTCAGTTACTATCCTCTCTTATATTAGCAGTCAGTGTATTGAACAATTCAGTTTGCTGTGTATTTTGTTTAGTGAAGCGTTAAAAAAGTCATTTGTATAAGTACGTTTAATTTTTAATTCAACAAACACTGTACTTAGTATTATATTTGCTAGAATTTTTAGAAGTAATTATCCATGTCGTTGTTAAAATGTTGTGTAAAATATGTTATGAATTGTTAATATATTCTGTTAATTAAATAAATTTCAGTGCTCAGAATTGCAAACGGAAACAACACATGACTGAAAGTTTTTATATATTGTAAGATTTAAGTGACAGTCAGTGGATAATGTGGTTAGAATTATATAAGAATTGTATAATTATATGTTGATAGATAAGTAAATGAATAATTAATTAAATAAAATAACGAAGAAAACATTTCATTTAACTAGAAAAAGAAAGTTTCTACAACGGTGGGTCATTGGTGTCAAAGCTTATATGCAGAATGGTAAGAACCTTGTACTTTACGTAATCTTTTTATTAAAGGAAATATGTTTCTTGAGAATCGAAAGAAGCAAAATACGAAGAAACGTTTGATAGATTTACGATTTCCTTAGAAATAAATTTTTTATTGGCATTTTACCAAATCTAATCATATACATACGTCCGTTCTAGATGGTAAAAGTAAGCTGGGATAAATTATTCACGATAAATTAATCGCGTAATTATTTCACTATCGACATACGTCCATATTTATATGGTATGCAAAATACTAAAATATTGACAATAATTGAAGATATATAAAGTGGCTTACTGCTGAAGGTTCAGGGTCGCCCACATATAATTGCTTCTCGTTAAAAATCTATAAACACGAGGTCACATTAATTGATTATACTTTTCAAGATTTTTAACGTATTCAAGGCTCTAAAGAAATCTATTCAGAATGCATTGATGTTTTCATTAATTATAGTTTAATGCATATGCGATATTCGGCAGGAATAACGCAAACGACTATATCCATTTTACATATTTATTTGATATAAAATTTTAAAAAATAATGTACACAATATTGGTTCACAAATTACAACACACAATCAGATTTTCATCACTCAAAAAGCATTACAATGGTATATAAGAATAAAGATGTTTGATCCATAAATATAATCTCAGCATATATTTATATGTGTGTGTGTGTAAGCTATTCTGACTATTAACACTATTCAGTTCTCAAGCTCAGTTGTACTTTACACGTCGCATAATCGTCTGCCTCACTTGTTATATCACAGTAATTCTGAATCAGAATAAACACTCAGTGAAAGAAAAGTACAATGTGGAATCACCTTGGTAGATGGATTTGCACATGTTACAAGAAGTCTGGTTATAAGCACTTATGTCTTTTGGTGAGTGTGAAAGAGCATCTGATCGATAGAGACGACATTCAAACTGAGAAAACGAAAGTCAAGGAGAAATTCATTATACGGTTGAATATATATATACATTCATTCTGATTGTTTAATCATTCATTCGTACTTTATGTTATCTGGTCATCTCGTACATTCTCTGCTTTATTTTTACACTTTGCGAACGACATATCTTTTGTTTAGCGTTCGACTAACTGCAGCTCAAGAGAAATTCATAGCATCAGCCATCATATCATTATACTCTTTCGTGTAAATCAGTTTGCTACCAGTTGCTGGAGCAGCCGATGGTGGTCTACCACCATAGACTATTTCTTCCAACTTTTTCCCTAGAGCTAATGCTATCCTGTCCCTCACGTACGTATACCCACCTTGGTTTTTATGTTCTTCTTGGAACCACATTATCTAAATATACAAAACACGTGACCAGATCCTTACAAAGAAGAATTAGATTGGTTTACCTTAGAATTCGGATACTTTGCTACTTCTTCCGCGAGAAGATGATACGGGAATGGACATAATTGTTCGAGACGAATGATAACTATTTTATCCTCCAATTGTTTCTCCTCACGTTCCTTGACTAAATCGTAAAACACTTTTCCACTACAAATCAACACCTTTTGTATGTTACCTGGTTTGACAAGAGGATCCGAAAGGATAGGTCTAAATGATGTGCCAGATTCCATTTCGGAGAAAGACGATAGAGCCATTGGATGACGTAGTAAGGATTTAGGCGTCATAATACACTGCATGAATAGATAAATGGTTATGCCAAGTTTTACGTAAATAATAGAAATAATAGATGTAGTTAGAGTAAAATCTGCCTAACCAGTGGTTTTCTGAAAGGCATGTGAATCTGACGACGAAGAGCATGGAAAAGGTTTGCGGGTGTCGTTAAATTGCAGATGATCCAATTTATTTCAAATAATTGCCGTGTCATAATTTGCTCCACGGTCTCTCCTTGGGGTGCACCCGGTTCCGTACCCGGAAGATAAATATAATCGTCGTCGCAAAGCTCGAGATATCGCTCGAGTCTCGCAGACGAATGTTCAGGTCCCTGACCTTCCAATCCGTGCGGCAAAAGTAAAACTAATCCTACTTGTCTACCCCATTTCGATTGGCCAGAGCATAAAAGAGTGTCTATAGTAACCTAAATATAATTAATTTTGCCTAATTTTAAATTATAATCTTTTAATAAAAGAGATTGTATCAAATTAAAAAGCGATAATGTATGATAATGATAACGTTCTTTTCGAAAACATATATATTGATCTTTCACAACAAAATCAAAGGGTATCTTTTGTATATATGATGTATCATTACGATTACCTGACACGTATTTGCGAAATCACCAAACTGGCCTTCCCACATCGTCAAAGTGTTATGATTGTAAGCCGAGTAACCTAACTCGAATCCTATACCCATAATCATGCAATTCATCAGTTGCTTATCGTAACTGCTTTTTTAAAAGATATTGCCTGTTTACAAGACTCACCGCAAACACCATATTCCGACAACGAAGAGTTAGAAACCGTGTATAATGCTTGTCCTGGAAACACATCGTGCAGAATATTTTTGAACGTTTTATCTTTATTTTGATCGTGAATAATATGAATGCGGTGAGAAAAAGTGCCTCGCTCGACGTCCTCGCCGGACAACCGCACGTGGTGACCTTCTTTCAGCAGACTGAGAAACGCTAAGCATTCGCCCATCGCCCAATCTGCTTGCCGAGCTTCCATTAACTGCGCTCTTTTGTCCATTACCCTCAGCACCTACGTTAAAACGTTAAATCGTTTCGGCATAGCTGTCTCAGCCAAACGTTTTCGAAGAATACTTTGATAGCATATCAGTATGTTCTTAGTATCGAGGAAAACAACTGAAATGTCTAATATGTCGAAACACGGAAACATAAAAAAAAATAAACCATACCTTAATGTTTATTCATTTAATCACCGTATACCTGACTATGAGAATCGATATCTTTGGGAGGAGTTGATATTGCTTTACAAATTGTCTTCATGGTTTCCATGTCGATGCCGGTGGATGGTATCTTATTGTTGGGACTTTGATTCGCAAAGAAGTCAGACCACGGTATATCGTGCCAGTCGCTCAAGTGCAACGAGTCTATCGTTTTCGCCTTTTCAAACTCTGCTTCGCAGTAGTCAAAATATTTTTCAGTTTCCTAGACAAATTGAAAAATAGTAAGAGATAGAACGGACGACTAAAAACTTATCAATATATGGAATAGTAATCAGATCTGTATGCACTTCTTTTGCAATCGCTTCGGTAATAACTCCTTCTCTGAGCAACTTTTCCGTATAAATGGTAAGTACATTCGGATGCGTCTTTATACGTTTATACATTAATGGTTGCGTAAGCATCGGCTCGTCTAATTCGTTGTGTCCGAATCTTCGATATCCCACGATGTCCAGAACAACGTCGTTGTGGAACATTGTCCTGTATCATTAATTTCCAAGTGACAGAAAAATGATTCCTATACTGATATAAAAATAGAACATATAAGTACCTATACTCTGCAGCAACTTTGCTACAATAAGCTACTAAATCAGGATCGTCAGCATGCATGTGAAATATAGGGGCATTTACAACACGTGCTACATCCGTGCAATGAACGCTGGACCGGGAATATCTTGGATCAGTGGTGAAACCGATCTAGGTTTGATCGATATCGTTAAAACAATTGATCATTTATTAGGTTCGATTGTAGTAACAAATGGATATCATTACCTGATTGTTAATTACAAGATGAAGGACGCCACCAGTCGTGTAATTTGGCAGATTAGTTAAGTGCATCGTTTCATAAACAACACCTTGCCCCGAAAAGGCGGCATCTCCATGAACCAAAATAGCCATAGACTTCTTACCGACTGGAATAAACAAACTTTTAATCATAAATTTCTTGATCAGCAGTCAACATAGATGCATACATACATTTAGCATCGTCCTTTTCCACTTGTTCGGCTCGAACTCGACCGACCACGACAGGATCGATTGCTTCCAAATGAGACGGATTAGCCATCATAGAAATAAGAATCTTCTTCTTGGATCTGCAAATAATTTCAGTTGAATTATTTATAATTTCGTAAATTGCGTCACTATATAATAACGTGATTTTTACCTTTCTAAAATTCTTTCCGCGTGTGTTCCCAAGTGATACTTTACGTCACCAGAACCGAAACCTTCCAAAGGAATCGAATGAAACTGAGTAAGAAGTTGATGCAGCGGTTTGAAACAAACATTGATCAAGGTGTTTAACCGTCCTCGATGAGCCATTCCTATCACAGCGCTTTCTACTCCTGTAAACATGTTACATCTTTCGGCCGATGCAAATGAAAATAGCTTTTTCAATAATTCATTAATTTTATTACCATTTTCTGCTGATGTTTCTAAGCACTGTATCATCGATGGTATGAAAGCTTCGGAACCCTCCAAACCGAATCTTTTTTCAGTGGGGAATTTTCGCGCCAAAAAGCCTTCGAACGTTACTGCTCTCATAATGTTTACCCAAATGAATTTTCTATGATCAGCTGGTAATTCCCAAGCTCCAGGTACTTCAAACTTCTGTCTCAACCAATCTAACTGGAAAGGTTTAGTGAAGTAATTCTTCATATAATACTCGATGTAATTTCTAAGTTTCAAACACCTTTCAATCGCTACTTTTCTTTTATTTAACAATCCAATTACTTATTTTTTTTTTTTTTTTTTTGTTCTTCCTTATTCTCTTTAAGGGACAATACTTACTACAACAAGGTCGTGAATGTAGGTGTACTCGAGACCTAAATGACCACAATAAACTTGGTTCAATCTCATTAGTATTTCGCGCAAAGGAAGATTTCGTTTAGGACCACCAATCACGGTGAATGGAGCAAGAGGAAATTCTCTGTCCATATCAGCCTCGGTCATTCCTTTCAAATGTTCTCGCACCACGATCGCGGGTGGTAAATTAGAAGTGCCTTGAAGCTTATACGATTCTGGATTTTGTATGCCCAGTGGATCGGTATCAGCTATTAAATGACCACGTGCCTTAAACCAATAAAGACAAACTTGACGATCTATTCGAGTGGATTTACTAAGGTGAATTTAACTTTAGGTCTCGATTGATGAGTGATACCTGATAAGCTCGAATCGTAGCATTAATATCAAGAGCTCCATTTATAAATTGTTCACCTTGCATGTCACCGTTGGATTTCGATTCTGGATTCTTTCCAGAACTTGATGCTATTCGGTAACAAGATGACGATATATTTTGTTTTAAATATAGTACAGTGCAAAAGTCATCGGTCACCTACTAAATGAAAATATTTTGTACTTACGTACATGTTTAATTCAAGAATGATTGGTAGCTCGCTAAAAGAATATTCAATGATTTGAAATAATTAACGTTTTATGTAATTCTATTTTATCCTGTCGCAGAAAAAAATCTCTCGCGATTCTTGTCAAACAATTTTTGAATAAACTCGCATCCTACTATTTACCATTACATATGTCTTTACATATCTCGAACAATTTATTTATATTCTTTGCCTTGCTCTTCTCTCCATACTGGCTCTAAATCATCTCATATGTGTTTTGTAACATTTAATTTACCGAAGTGTCTAGAAAAAATCGTGAACTAGCAGAAACGACAAACAAGTAGTATGGTTAAATGAAATATCTAAAGATTTGTTTCTATGTAACTCCGTGTAGAAATATTTCCTGAAAGTATGACGGATTACCATTGCTAGACCGCTATCGCAGATGACCCAAGACTTGTATACTGTACATGTATAGCTTTTTTAAAAAACCATATCGTAATATTACATACAATGAAACTTCGTTTGTATATAATCTTAATAGGTAACAAGTAATTTATATAAACGGAATATTGTAATCTATCATAAACATGCTATTAAACTCTAAGGAAAAGACCACCTGATAATGCAGTATTTGACGGTTTCGTATTAGAAGATAATTCAACTCGAGTGGACGCAGGTGTTGTCAAGTTAGAAGCTGATGAATACCCCGATGAGGTGGAGAATTTCTGTGAGCTGGAAGCTATTGACTCCGGTAGATTATCAGCATAAGTTAATCTAAAATAGGAATCCCACGAAGTGCTGACGGACTTCGGATCTTTCCTCCACAACTGGTACATGTGATCCAAGTACTGACTGTTATTCATGTTCAAGACGTAGTCGTACCTATTGTTCTTACGACCGCCTTTCTGGTCATCATGGTGGAAACGCACTTTGGACTGTTGCGGCTCGAACGGCACGAATAGGCAACGTTTGAATATCCGATATTGGTCATTGCGGGACTTGAACAAACGATTCACACATGAGACGAAAAGTCGAAAGCTATTATAAGATTGTGATTTCGTGTACATGTCCCCATTTGATGGTATTCGCGACCAAGATGCTGAAAATTTTGTACAAACACTTTCGAAATTTTAAATTTAATCGTCAAACGTATCGCATTTGAACCCGGGATCATAACATCGTGACACCTGACTGTTTGGAAGGTTGCTCTGTCGACTAACTTCGGCTAATATTCTTTAAATTCTTGTACGAAATTGCTCACTTCTCAAAGTTCAAATTTAGTACTTTGCCTTTTACAATAAATTAAAAGAGGATAATTTAAAAGAAAGAATCATTCGTGTTTGAATTTACAGAATATATATATGCTTGTAGCTGGATGCATGTACATTCACACGTTCCTCAAAGAAAGACTTTAAATCGTAATAAATAAATTTGCCTAAATTTTTCAAACAAACAGTGAAAAACAGTGAAACTAGATCGATTGATAAAGCTGCAACTTCTCTCGCCGTTCTCGCCATACGTTTTTGATATGGCACCAAGCTTCTTATCGATACTTTCTCGCAGAAATGTTTGAGATAGAAATCAGTAATTCGGCATTACAGGATAAAGTGAGATGAAATGACGCAACATGTCACGCAACCCTTAGATGATTTGATTAACCTGCCCTATATAGACGTGCAACTTGACATAACATCTTTCGGTAAAAGAATATTGCACTTTATTCGCAGAAGATGGTTCAAGTCGAAGAAATTATTACGCGTGCCAGTTTTCCTAAGAACCCAATATTCCTTTTCCCACGCGGTCCTTTTTGTGAAAGCAAGTGCACCAAATGTTTATTGACAATCTAAGTTATGAATCTATTGCTTTCGGCTTTCTAATTAATTAAAATGCTTTTGTATACGTAGGGCAACGCAATATCGTTGTACGCAGATCATAGGGTTATAACTATTAGCCCGAGTAACGATCCAAAGGAAACAATTTTTCCGAGTAATCACATAGTCTCTAAAAAGGTAGGTATTACAATTAGCAAACTAAAATATCGATCTAGTGCGTAATTTATTTTTGGATCACTTCATTTACAGTACACAATATGGAACTTTCTACCAAAGAATCTCTTTGAGCAGTTCAGACGGATTGCAAATTTTTATTTTCTCATGATGACAATAATATCTGTGATGATAATATCTCCGATTTCTCCGTTAACCAGCATTTTACCGCTGAGTTTCGTCGTATTTGTAACCGCGTGTAAGCAAGGCTACGAAGATTATAACCGTTACATGGCAGACAAACGAATAAACCGAACATTCATCACAGTGATCCGTAATAAATGTGTACAGGTTGGTGCAATTGTATTGGCATATCTGAAAAAATTGATTCGATATGGTGGCATGATAGAAGAGCGACGCGTATAAACAATTATTAATTCTTACATATCTGCAGAAACAAATCCTAAAAGTTTTGTCCTTTTTTTTTTTTATTTAGTTGTTTACATTCACAATTTGTCCGATTTGGACATTTGGTAGAATTTTTTGGCTGTTTGATAATCATATAGGTGGTTACCCTCAACGGTGGTTACCATCTTCGTGAAATCCTAAAAGTGTCCACTGTTAGGATAGGAACGTCGCTATTATTCGATTTATATTATTTATATTATCTAACAAAACGTTTTATAGCTTGTATTAAGGATCAGAAGCGAAATTAAAGGAAAAAGATGTTTGATTTGCTAAATAATTAATTACTAATATCTTATTTTAAACCGGTTCCCTGAAAAATTTACTTTTCTTTCCGTAGAGAATTTACGTCACTCTTGTAACAAATTTCTTGTAAAGATCTTTTTATCTGTCACCAATCGAAAGTTAAACTTCGAAGTACAGAAATTACACTTTGTACAACAAAGAATGTTGTAACAACCACGACCGATAAGATATCAAAAGTACGATAACAATAGAAATCGAGAAGGGACGGATGTTAAGTCTGTTTGTAAACATTCTCATACCTTTTACGATAAACCAATATGATATAATAATTTACAACATCGAAAGTAAAGTAGTAATATAAAAATCAAGTGGAGAGGAAAATTTAAAAAGACTTTTCTTTATTTTACATTTTTAGAACGTACCTTGTGAAGAAATAGTAGTTGGAGATTTAGTGAAAGTGTATCGCGAGCAAGATGTTCCTTGCGATCTTTTGCTTCTTTTTAGCACGGATAATACGGAACGCTGCTATATCACCACATCGAATCTCGATGGTGAAACCAATCTAAAAGCAAGTAATTCTTTCTTAATCGAATTAACACGTTGAATGCCACGTCAGTTTCGCAAGGTTTGGCCGTGTCGCCATGATGAAGTTTTTATTATGCGATACATACAATATAATGTTGAAATATCACCTACAGGAGGTATCGTACGGTGTATAATCATCATTAATGAATTTATCTCACTGAGGTTACCGGTAACCTCCATGGCGCTGTGGTGTAATTTCGCTCGATTCACTTATTTTTCGCGATTATCAATTATCTCATATTGTTTCTTCGCGTTGGATAAACGTATGGATAAACCATAATCCACAAACGGACCGTCACAAGATTTAGCATTTGTTACTTTACTGTGTAACAGCACTCGACGACAGACCTTCCGACGGTTTCTATCCCGGGACGTGTTACACAAAAGCTCCGTTCTTCGGACAAGATAATTGCTAAATGTCGAAAGATCTTCGAAAAGTCGGCATACCTTCAACTAGCCTAAGTACCCGCTATAAGTCTTCCGATTTCTCTAATTAAGGTCCTTCAAACTGAACAAATATCTCTTAATCTTAGCTTTCCTTGATCTATTATCTATTACGAAGAAATACGGGAAATCCTTTCTCGGGTTTTTCTCAGATACGATGCTAGCAACTTTTTCTCGAGGGCGGTTAGCATCCTTCCTCAACCACCAACCTAGTAGATTAACCAATTAACAGCGACGTCCATTTTCCTCACTTTCCTAGCGAAAACTTTGAGAATTGTTAATACTTGAAACGTCTTGAAATGAGAATTGTTAAGAAATATACTGTTTAAACCCTTGGTCTATAACCACAAGCGAGACTCGTGGTAAAGAATTTGTGCCATAAGCGAAAACCACGAATTTAAAAACACTATTAAAACACGTCTTAAAAGCACTATTTGTCCTCAAACGTTGTTTATTATTTCACAATTCCTTTTGTAGCCCCTAAATATACATGTCATAAGAAGTATACATCTTGCGCCAATTCGGGCATACGGCTGAACAGATGAATGGCACGGTACGCGACCGAACTTCTTGCTTACTATGGCACGCGCGATCAGCAAATAGCGTGTAGGCCAAGGGGTTAAATATATCCGAGTGTTTCTTCAGCACCTATCACGTTCTATATACCTCAACTGTTAAGGCTCTTAATTGCCATCAAACATCTTTCAAGTCGAAACGTTCCTTAGGGTTATTGTTCACTCAGGTAAAAGTGGGATTTCCAATGTTCGACAGCCACTGGATAATAGATCTATATTTCATGTATAAATAAAACTGTTTTTATATGTTTTATACCGCATTAATTTCGTCACATCATTTTGGTAACGATGGTAATAATACAAAATTTATAACTATTGGCATTTGTTCAAATTATGTACTTCTACTAATCTTGGTGCGCCGGTCACCGATGACCCCTGCGGCATTCAACGTGTTAAGGAACTGATTTCATAATAAAAAACATTGAAATAGCAGTGTCGATGATATTTATCGAACTATTATTTGTTTAGGCTGTGATGATCCCAAAAATACTCACGAAAATGACCATGCAACAAATAGCATCTATGGAAGCTACTGTTACTTGCCAGCATCCTTCGTCCGATCTCTATGCTTTTCATGGCAAACTGGAAATAAATAATGGGAACAATGAAATAGCCAATGGACATCTAACGATTAATAATTTATTGCTTCGTGGGTCCAGATTAAAAGACACAGATTATATTATCGGTTGTGCGATTTACACAGGTCACGATACAAAACTGTCCCTCAATTCCAAGATAAAGAGCAACAAATTCTCCACAGCTGAAAAGTAAGCGCATTGAAAAATGCAAAATGCTCATAGAATGTGAAAACTGATATAGTTAAGTGAAATGAAAAGTATCTATAAATAGTGAACGTTTCTTTATAGATCCATCAACAAACACATCATCTCGTTTATCGTCTTACTTCTGGTCGAGGTACTAGAATCTTGTGTAATGAAAGTCATAACAGAGGCGAATGCGAAGTGGGAATCGTACCTTGGTACTATCCAGTCCATTACTTTCGGTTCATTGGCTACAGATTTTCTGAGCTTCACCATTCTATACAATTACATTGTGCCGATATCATTGTACGTTACAATAGGTAAAAACCATGTTTTTTTTTTATCCTTTCTTCGTCCTAAAAATATTTTTGCCGTACGATACCAAATTATCATCGTTCAGAATTGCAATTCTATCGATTAAATCTTGCCACAATTAATCTCAATTTAATCGCGATACAAATAGGAACATTTCTAACAAGTTCCAATCAATTGTTCTCGTTACAGAATTACAAAAATTCCTCGGTTCGTTTTTCTTCAGCTGGGATCTCGACATGTATGACGAAGTCACGAACCAAACGGCATTGGCCAACACGTCGGATCTAAACGAGGAGCTTGGACAAGTCGAATATTTGTTCGCGGACAAGACCGGTACACTCACGGAAAATCTGATGGTGTTCAGGCGAGCCTCGATCAATGGAAAAGTTTATATCGAAAAAGATTGCGATGGTAATTTATATTTATTACCTCCGAACGGCGACGAAAATCAAGCAATCCAATTAAAAACTTGGGAGGTAATGTCGCATTTACAATGGAATAAAGTCTTCCTTTAAGTCCATGTTTAATATAGTTTTTAATTAAATTCTAGCCAGATATTTGGCATTTTATGATAAGCCTTTCTCTGTGCCACTCGGTTCAAATTTCACCTCCGAGTCAGACGCCCGGTGTTATCGCTAGACGCACGGAATATCGCGCCAGCTTTAAACAAAAAAAAATCCTGCAGGTGAAC